GGTCCACATCCACTCCAGGGGGGTGTCGTCTCCCCAGTCCTCTCTCACAGACCTTCCTTTGCTGAATTAAAGTTTGTAAGTAAATGGTTTTAAAGAAAGCAGAGCTGGCTGGTTCTTGGGACAAACAGTGGGCTTGGGTGGGTAGTCGGGGATGGCCCCGCAGGGCTTTTCGTGTGTGGGTGAGCCAGCGTGGCTCCCTCGCGCTCTGGCAGCCCCTTCCTGGAGTCCTTCCTCGCACGCTTCCCACTCAAACGGCAGTGCTCGTATTTGGGCAATTACGGGCCCTTTGGTCGCGTGGCTGCCACTGGGCATGCCCGGGCCCGGGTCACGTGATGCCTGTCATGGCCGCCTCCGTGTCCCGGGGAGGCGTGAGTGCTGGGTTTCTACTGCGGGCGGCCGGTGGAGCCTGGTGGAGCCGGCCTGGGGGCTCTCGGGGGTCGGGGGAGGCGGCGGCGCCAGTGACAGCCAGAAGATTCCGAGCAACAGGTACCTGGGGCGCTTTGGGGGACAGCGTTAATCCGCCGGACGCCCGCAAGGCGCGCCGCGGCCGCTCACCCAACCGTGTTTTCCAGGCTCGAGCCCGGCGGGGGAGGAAGCAGCTGGCGGCCCCGAGCGGCCCGGGGACGTGTGAGTGTAGGGGGCCAAGTCCCCCATTCTTTATCCCACGAGGTTCCTCTGGTCCCCGCCTTGCCCTGCAGCCTCATCTCTGTGTCCCCCTTCTGCCTCGTTCTATTCCCCTGGCCGTCAAGGCCCCCTAACCCTAGACGTGACCTGGCCACCGCGCCCACCATCAAGTTTGGTATCTGCACCCCCATCTGTCCCCAGGGTGAACGTGGTGTTCGTAGACCGGTCAGGCCAACGGATTCCGGTGAGCGGCAGAGTGGGGGACAATGTTCTCCACCTGGCCCAGCGCCATGGAGTGGACCTGGAAGGTGGGAACCCCACACTGGGAACTGGGGAGGTCCTTATTCATTGTTTTAAAAACCCTGCAAATCAGATACGGTTCTCCGTTACTTAACCCCGCCCCCGCCCATGGCTTCCCATCAAACATGGCTAAAATCCAGACTCCTCACCAATGTCTCAAACCCTGACCAGCTCTAAACCTTCACTCACTCAGCAGCTATTTATTGAGCATTTATTAGAGGTTATTAACATTCCTGCCCTGCAGGAACTTGTATTCTCTCTCTCCTTCCTCTCTCTAATCTAGACACACTGGCTTTCTTGCTGTTCCTCAAACAAAAAGCCAAGTTCATTCCTGCCTCGGGGCTTTTGCATTTCCTGCTCCAGACATCTGAAGTACTTTCCCACCCGATTAATCCTTCAGGTCTCAACGTAAATGTCATCTTTCTGACAATCTCCCCCCCCCCCCCCCCCCCCCAAAGACCCTCACCCCTGGTCACTGTCACCTCAGTGTGCTTTATTGTCCTCCTAACACTTCTCAGTGTCTTGTTTCCTTTTTGTCATCTGTCTTCAGAATGAGATCAGAAACCCTGGTGCTACTTATCAGTTGTCTGTCATGGTATTTAGATGTAACGGGTATTAAAATCAGTATTTGCTGAATAAAAGATAGTCATAGCAGACATTATTTTAAGCTCATTAAATACCTACTGACTGATTGAATCTTCCTGACAAGGTTATGTGATAGGGAAGATTGTTATTTTATAGGTGAGGAAGCAGCCCCAGGTTAAGTTGACATGATCCAGAGTCAAGTAAGTGGCAAAACTAGATTCAAAGCCAGTTTATTTTAGCCACTAATCTGTGCTGCTTTTCTATGTGTATTGAATACCTACTGTGTGCCAGGCGGCAATGTACAAAACAGACAAGGCCCCTATCATTTCACATCAATTTCAACTTAATAGGGACCATAATCCCAGGAGTAAACATGTAATTATATCATAAGCAGCTGGAAAGGGCAGTCTGAAAAAAAAAATGTACAGGGTTATTTGTTGGGTGAATATAATACAGAGCCTGATTTAATCATTATCGGGGGTGGGGATGTTGGGGGGCTGGTCATGGCAGGCCTACCTCAAGTTCTGTTCTGGAATCCAGTCACCAGGAGTCCAGGACAGAGATTGGAACATGAGTTTTAGAGGCAAGTGGCCTGTGTTCATATTTTGCCTCTTACCAGCTCTATGACTCTGAGCAAGGTACTTTACCTCTCTGGGCCTCTGACGCCTCATGTATAAAAGGGGATAATTTAGTTAACTGTCTCATTGGGTTGCTCTGGAGGATTAAAGAGATCTCGGAAGCAGTGCCGAATGCCTGGCACCTGGTTAGTATGCAGTGCCTAGCTGGGACTATTGTATTCAATAGTCTCTTATCTCGTGGGATGAGGGTGCTAATGAGGCGGGAAACAAGACTGAGGAAGAGATTCGTTGGGGGCTGCCTGGGGCTTCAGGGTCCAGACATTTTATCCCCAGGAGACAGGGAGGGTGGGCAGAGTCACCAGGTCCCCCTGGGGGGTTCTTCCGGGTCAGGAGGCTGCCTTGCAGCCACATCCTCATTATCCAACATGTGTGGAAGACAGAAATCTGTCCCATTCACTTAAAACACATGTCTCTTGAGCATCCATATGCCAGGCTCAGTGTCAAGTACAAAGACGGCGGCCAGGTTGAGGGAGCATAGGTACGCCCAGAGATTCAGGTGGTAACCTGAGCTTGTGGTAAATGTTGTGCAGAAATTAGAGTCCCCAAGGCTGGGCACGGGTGGGGGCGTGCGGGGAGAGGATAAGAAACAGGAGATGGGGGAACTGGAGAACAGATGAGTTCTGTTGGTAAAAGAGTGGAGAGAAGAACATTCCAGGGCAAGGGTGCAACGAGTGCAGAGGCCATATGCTGGGGACGAGCTTGGTGCGTTGGAGTTGGGGGGGGGGGCAGTGTGGCGGAAGTGGGTGAGTGAGGGGTCGGGGAATCTCAAAGATTGAGTGGAAGAGTTTGGTTTTATTCTGGCTGCGAAAAGGCCTTGGAAGGTTTTATTTATTTATTTATTTTAAGTTTTTATTTATTTGACAGAGAGAGACACAGCGAGAGAGGGAACACAAGCAGGGAGAGTGGGAGAGGGAGAAGCGGGCTCCCTGGCTCGATCCCAGGACCCCGGGATCATGACCCGAGCCGAAGGCAGACGTTTAATGACTGAGCCACCCAGGCGCCCCATGGCCTTGGAAGGTTTTAGACCAGGAGGGACATTATCCCCAAAGAGCAGTTCTCAGCGATCGGTCCAAAGGGTGGGGATGTGTCCAAGGGAAAAGCAGGAAACCCCAGCTTCTGTATCTTTCAACCCTTATTTTCTGGTCTCTTTCCCTGCCACACTTGAGTGTTGAGGAAGCAGGTCCCATCTTCGGGAGCAAGAGGGAGACGCAAACCCATTTGCCCAGCACAGTGACAGGGTCCCCGCAAGGGCTTACAGGCTGCAGGGACCCTGCCTTTTTCCCGCCTCAGCCACACTGAAGTCAAGTCCACGCTCATTCATGGTTCCATGTCCGCAGTCTGGTCCACAGCCTGCTGGGGGGTTGGTCCTTGGGAGACGGGACACCCCGGACGTCCCTTTGCAGAACTTACACACGGCTCGGGAGCAGCTAGCCGAGTGGACGACGGGGCAGAGGGTGCGCTCGGTGCGGGCCCGGGAAGGACGGCCGAGGGGCGCGTGGGGAAACAAAGGGCCTCTTAACCCCCTTCTGCCCTTGACCGCATGGTGCCTACCTGACCGTGCCCCTCACTGGCACCTCCTCACTTGTCGCCCCCAGGGGCCTGTGAAGCTTCCCTGGCGTGCTCCACCTGCCACGTGTACGTGAGCGAGGACCACCTGGACCTTCTGCCTCCTCCCGCTGAGAGGTGAGCGGGGGCAGCCCCTCCCCGCTGTCCAGGGGCCCGTGTGGGCGGCGCAAGGCAGCCCCGGCCCGACTCCCCCCTGCAGCTGCTGGCGGTGGCGCTGCCCCTCGCCGGCCTGAGAGGTGCCTCGTCCCTGCCCTGTGGGGCCCTCACCAGCTGGGCAGCTTGCCGCCTGGTGACTGCTGTTCTTGCTGCAGGGAGGACGACATGCTGGACATGGCCCCCCTTCTTCAGGAGAACTCCCGGCTGGGCTGCCAAATCGTGCTGACTCCTGAGCTGGAAGGGGCCGAATTCACGCTGCCAAAGATCACCAGGAACTTCTACGTGGACGGCCATGTCCCCAAGCCCCACTGACACCCCGGGCACCCGCGGCCTCGTGGCCGGAACTGGAGGAATAGCCAAGTTGCCAGCCCAGCCCAGAGCATGGACAGGCCCGAGAGAGATGTTGGAAGCAACCAGAAGGCCAGAGGCCCTGCCTCAGAGAGATCCCATGTCCAGGCTCTGGTTTGGGAGGCTGAGGGGGACCCAGCCCTGCTGGGGGGGACTCCCCCAAACTCAGGAGAATCAGTGTGTAGATTCGGTGGAATCTAACTGGAACAACAATAAAACTGTCTCACAGACCTCCAGTGTGTCTTGAGGGTGTCTTGAGGGTCCTGGGGGGGGGGCGGGGACGGCAGGCCTTGGGGTCTGTAGCCGCACCTTCTGGACCCCCAACTCTCCCCTCCCACGGCAGCGCCGGGGCCACGGGGCTGGGGTGGCGGGACGGCTGACGCAGAGACCTGGAGGCTGCCTTCCCGGAGAGCCCGGGAGCCTGAGCACACGTGCCCCCGCGTGGCAAGGCCCCGCCCCCCCGGCCGCGGAGGGATTTGGGGGGGGATCCAGGCTGGCCTGGAGGGGTGCGAAGGCCACCCGAGCAGAGCTGCCAGAGTGGGACCGAGGCCGGCGTCGGGGGAGAGGGCTGGGGGGGGGGGGCTTGGGACCGGGCGCCCAGGGCTGCCTGCCAGAGGCGCCCCACCGCACTCGCCCCGCCCCGCCCAGGTGGGGCTCATCGCCGCCTCCGCCAGAAGCGCCCCCACCAGGCACGTCCTGCTCCACTCAGGTGGGGCTCATCGAGTGGGCTCCGGGTGGGCGGGGCCGGGCGCGATTAGGGAAGTGGGGCTGGGCCGGGGCGTGATGGAGGCCGAACCGGTCCCAGACTTCTCAAAGCTGCAAGAGCTCCTGGCGCCGCCGTGTCTGGACCCTAAGCCGCCCCGGGCGCCCCCTGCTCAGCAGGCACCAAGGACCCCAGGATGCCCCAGACCCAATGGCAGGTGCGTTCAGGAGCGGCCCCTTCCCCCAACCTGATCCAGTGGTCAAAGGGTCATGACCTCTGGTTCCTGGGGGTTATCCAGAGGTCACCATGTTAGTTACTGACACTTAAAAAGAAGAAGTTCTGGTCCCGAGGGATACTTGGGGTCATATGGGGGTCAGAGGCCACGCAATTCCCCCATGTCTCTGAAGACTACATTGGTGCTGCCCAGGGAAGGGGGTGACCACACTGTCCCTTGTCCCCAGGTCCTTCTGGCCTGCACACCAGGACTCAGCCACTGCCCTGCGTTGCCTCCAAGGAAGAGCAGAGGGGCTGGTTCAGCCCCCTGGCCGGGACACCCAAACCCTGGGGCCCTGCTGGGAGCTGAAGGCCTTGGAGACTCTGGGACCCTCGCCTCTGGCAAGGGATGCCAAGAACATGCTGACCCCAATTAGCCAGCCATGCTGCAGCTCGGGGCCCCCGGAGGCTCCCCCAGCCCCTTCAGCCCTACCCCAAAGGCGGCCCCGGAAGCAGTCAAAGCCCCACCCGGGCGCTGAGAAAGTGGACCCCCGGTTCGTGGGGGTGACCCTGAAGTTTCAGATAAAGCCGGATTCCAGCCTACAGATCATACCCAGCTACAGGTAGGGGCTGGCCCAGAGGGGGCGCCCTTTTGCAAGTTATAGTAATAATGGTGGGGGCAGGGGCCTCTGCTCGCTGGCACCCCACACCAGCCTTACGTTACAAATGGCCCAGCCTCTGAGCGAGACCTCAGGCTGGCGCCATGACCCAGCAACGTCCTGGTCCGAGCATAGGTCCTGTTTATGAGACGGGCCTGACCATACTGAGGGCGGCTGCTAACTTGTTTTTCCCAGTAATGATCATGACCACCACCTGTCAGGAACAACAACCATGAGAGGTAACGGGTAGCCCTTGATGTATGTGGGCTGCCTGAAGCCTTGTGAAGCCCATTTTGCAGATTTGGAAACTGAGGTGCAGAGGATGCGATTGCTTGTCTGGAGTCACGCAGTGAGGACTCAGGAGAAAAGGGATCTCAAACTGGCAGGCTGGCCCCAGACGTGCCACCTCTTCACATAATACTCATTATTATTACTGATGAGGGACAAGGCCAGGCCTTTCAGACATCAGATGCCTCCTTGGGGGATGCTTCAAATACCGATAGTAAATCATCACTGAGGGGCCACTGCCTGGGACAAGGTACAGATAGATCCCCCAATGCTAACTCCTGTCTACTCCCCAGCCTGGCCTGCAGTAGCCGCTCTCAGGGTCCCTCTACAGGCCCTGCCAGGGGTCCTGAGGCCAACTCAGGAGGCGGTGAGGCCCTCGGTGAGTCCTGGTGACTTAAGAGCTATAAATAGGGGGGGGGGGGGCAGTTTCCCATCCTCTCCGTCTTTCTTCCCATCCTGCTTCCCCATTTAGACCCATCCAGAAGGAGTCATGGTGCACCTCCCTCCACTCAGGCTGAGTCACCCCCACCCCCGGTTTCCTCCTCTGCTTAGCTTGCCATCTGTCTCCCTTCCTCGCTTTCCCTCTGTCTTAGATCTGGTAATACCCAGGGCTGGTCCAGAGCCAGGTGGGGCCTTCGTAGAGACTCTAGCAAAATGCCCCACCTGCACGGGCCTCCTGAGCCCAGACTCTTGGCCTCTGCCCCTTACCCTTTGACCTCTGCCCCCTCAGGGCCCCGGTGCTGTGCTTCCTGTAGGACCCAAAGGACCCCACTCTGGAGAGATGCTGAAGATGGGACCCCTCTCTGCAATGCCTGTGGTATCAGGTCCTCAGGATGGAGGGAGTTTGGATGCTTAGCCAGTGTGGGGTTCTGGGAGGGGAAACACTCACCCTTGTGGAAAGTGGAACTACCCAGAAAATGGTAGTTTCTGGACCCCTGCTGCATTCTGATGTTGATTTCTTGCACCCCCACCCCAGGTACAAGAAATATGGCACCCGCTGCTCCAGCTGCTGGCTAGTGCCCAGGAAAAGTGTCCAGCCCAAGAAGTTATGTGGCAGATGTGGGGTGTCCCTGGGCCCCCACCAAGGCCCAACTCAGGAAGGGTAAGCCCTTCCTCACCCAGCCGAGCCTGTCCTGACTCAGTTTCTCCGTGGGGGGGGGGGAGGGCAGGGAATGGGCAGAAGCCCTCCTGGGAGGAGTGGGGAAAAAACTTGGGTCTTCAAGGGTCCAGCCTGCCTCTTCTCTGCCCCCTCCCATTCAGGGATCTCAGGTGGAAGACCCAGGCCTCGGGCTCCAGAGTCCCTGTCTCGGGGCCACTGTCCCCCTCCCTGGCCCCTGGTCCGATCAGGTTTGGCTGAGCCTCCCGTCAGAAAATGTTCTCAGCAGTGACACTCCTACTGTGAACAGCAATAACAATAAAGAACACAACTACTCTGAGAAAGAGCGCTGTGACTTGGGGATCCCACCTCGTGCACACTTCCCCCTCTCTCCCCCGTGCCAGGAATGTGGGGGCAGGTGTTTTCTCATTAGGATTCTGAGGGACACACACACACTCGTATATACAGGGACCAGCCCACCCACAGAGAATGAGCCACATTCACCACAACATCCCATATAGGGCAACAGCCACCACCTGCAGAGACAAAGAACACATGTAGACAGACACACACTCGGGGCGCCTAGCTGGCTCGGTCGGTGGAGCGCACGACTCTCGATCTCGGGGTTGTGGGTTCGAGCCCTGTGTTGGGTGTAGAGATGACTTAAAAAAATCTTTTTTTTTTTTTTAAGATTTTATTTATTTATTTGACATAGACACAGCGAGAGAGGGAACACAAGCAGGGGGAGTGGGAGAGGGAGAAGCAGGCTTCCCGCCGAGCAGGGAGCCCGATGTGGGGCTCGATCCCAGGACCCCAGGATCATGACCTGAGCCGAAGGCAGACGCTTAACGACTGAGCCACCCAGGTGCCCCTAAAAAAAAAAATCTTAAAAAAAAGGGAAGACAGATACGTGTGTGGGGGCTAACACATTCACACACAAGACACACTGATAAACTCGCGCGTGCTGACACGCACATAAGACACATAGACCACACACTAGACAGAAACAAGCGTTGACAGACACACGACAGATACTATGTCAACACACAGAAAATACACCTAGGTGACACACACATTGGCACACAGTGATACACACACAGCGGTCCCTTTATCCGTCAGCTCCACCTCTGCCTGCAGGATGTCCCCTTCCTACATCTTTATGCACACCAGTGCCTTCTGTGGCCCCCTCCCCCCTCTTCCAAGAGCTCTCCAACCGCACCAAAGGGTGTCCCTAGCCTGAAGCCAGAAGCCATTCAGGAGAAGAGGGCCCTGGCCAGAGCTAAGCCCTGTCGCTGTTGCCAGAACACACAGGATACCAGTGCTCACTGGCAGGACTGGAGGGATGCAGCCAGGGTGGGGGGTGGTCCCCCATTGCAGTGAGTGAGACCTGCCTGGCCACACAGCCCAGGAAGGGGAGCCCCTGTGAAACCCTCTTTTTCGCTTTTGGGTGAGCCTGTGGGGAAGGTCTGGGCCCAGTTCCTCAGCCCTCAGATCCCTGACTCCTCCAGCCCCATCATGCCTCAGCTCAGAACACCCCCCTCCAGGTCTCCCCTAGCTGCTGCCTTCTCATTACTGGGAAGGTGGGGCAGTCTTCCTTGACCACCCAGTCTAAAATACATACCCCACTCCCATGCTATGTCAGGCTCTAGTTCAGCTCCTCACTGGTCTCCCTCCTAGAACCTACCAGAATTTTTCAGTTCTCTACTGCTCTGGGGTTATTTCATTCACCTTCATCTTCCCATCTGGACCATGACTTCAGGGGTCCAAGGCCACAACTGTGTCCCTGACCATGAGAGGCCACCCCAGGGCCCAGCGTGGAGTTCTTTGGGGATGCACCTTGAACACATGAAGGTCTCAGACTGTGTACCTGTGAACTCACGGCTGTTTTTGCCCACTTATTCAGCATTTATTGAGCAACTACTGTGTACCAGACCCCAAGGGGGAAAGTTTATGGTAACTAGAACAAAGAACCCTGCTCTAGCGAAGCCAATATTCTAAAGTGACAGTAAACAAAGTCAAATATCTAATAGAGTGTCAAGTGGTAGTTGATGCTACAGAGAAAATAGAGTATATAAGGAGATAAGGGGTTGGAGGGCTACCTCAGTGATGCTTCTCTCCGACATTTGGATAGAGACCTGAGGATAAGGAACTAGCTGTGGGACTCTGAGGTGAGGACAGTCCAGGCAGAGGGAATGGCAAAAACAAAGGCCCTGTGGCAGGCTGGACTTGGTGGGACGTAAGGAATCGCGAGGGAGGGGTTAAGGGTGTGTGTGTGTGTATGTGTGTGTGTGTGAGACACGGGAGGGGCCTCACCGTGCTTGTGCTGTTGCCTTCTGTATACTGGCTTGGCTGCTAGTTCCTCCCACCCCCCAACACCTAGTAATCCCCCCCCCCCCCGTTTCCTGCTCTTACCTTTGCTCAGGAAATGTTTGCCTAGGGCAGCTGATGGAGTGGGAGCTGTCCAGGACTGCTTCCTTCTCTCAGGCTCTGTTCCTGCTTTTGAGGGAGGCAGAGACTGCAAGGGTGGGGGGAGAGCAGCTGTTCTCTCCTTATGCTGTAGGGGGTGAGGGGGACGGTGGTGTGCGGAGCGGGTTGCAGCTGATAGCCATGTGTCTCTTCTGAATCATGACAGACAGTTAAAAGGCAGGTTGGGGGTAAACTGAGGCACGGTGGATGGACACAGGATGGAGGAGACATTGAGGGTGGGGCGGGGATGCACCCTTTAATCGTTGGGACATGTCACTCATAAGTGCAGCCACTGTCTGCATTTACTCATCCTGGTGAGACCTCAGGACAGGGGTCCAATGCCCAGACCCCGGGGAGGGGGCTCCGCCCATCCTGGGAAGACAGCTTCTGCGGTGCCTGAAACCAGACCTGGGGGAATCACCTAGCTCCCACCCGCAAGAGTTAGCGGGGTTAGAGGGCAGGGCTGGGCGGAAGAGATAAGGAGCAGGGAGCTGGAGGAAGGAGTGCAGTCCCCACCCCAGCCCAAGGCTGGCTGACAGCAGGAAACCGGACACGGAGAGAACACGCTCCAGCCCACACTGCATGAAGGTGGCTTGGGCTGTACCTGACACATTGTAGGCCCTCGAAAACAAACAAGCCGAAGTAGTTTATGTATGAATAACCCGCGGGGTTGGGACTGGAACCTTGGGTTGCTTCCACATGGCAGAGACTGAAGTGGACGGACCCAGAGTCCTTTATAAAAACTTTATTTGTTGGGGGGGTAGAAAATGGGGGTGACGCCCCTGGAATTGAATAAATAAATGAATAAATAAATAAATACATAAATAAATAGAACAATAAGTAAGCCCCCGTGTGCCTCTGGGGGGCGTCCCCCGGCCCGCGGGGAGAGGGGAACCGGCTCACGCCGACGTCAGCTGGATGGCGAAGACCTCGCCCCCCGCCTGCGCCTCTGCGGTGCCCGCAGCCTCGGTTCCACCTTCGGCGCCCGTGCCCCCGCCAGTGCCACCGCCCGCGCCGTTGAGACACACGGCCTCACCCGAGCTTTCGGCCTCCTGCACATTATACTCGCCCTTCTTGCAAGCGGTGGACTGAACGTAGAAGGCCAGGCCGGCCCCCGCGGCCAGTAGGGCCGCGCCCCCCGCCGCGCCGCCCACGGCGACCCACAGCCATGGACCTGCGGGGTGGAGACCCTCAAAGAGAGTGGACCAGCTCAAGGCTCCCAAGCGCGGCCACCTCTGTTCCCTCCCCATTGGCACGAGGTCAGTCCTCACAGGCCTGGCAGGGAACCCCAGGGAACTCATAGCGTGGGGTGGGGGAAAGGAGAAAGCCCTCAAAGGCTACCCCGAGCGCTGGTGCGACCCCAGACCCATTTTACGCGTCACCTCAGCACATGAGGATAGAAGCCCCTAGCCCCAGGGATACCCAGAAGTCAACTCTCTTCACCCCCAAGAGGATGAGGGTGGGGGGGATCGGGTCACCCCACCCCGGAAAACCCGAGATACACGAAGTGGGGGGGGAAGCTGGGTGGAACCCCCCCTCACCCCCATCCTCTACCCTAGGTCCCTCTCCAACACCTCTTCTCCACAGCGGCACAGTGAGGGGTGAATTCTACCCCAAGTTAATAAGCCCCTCCCACAGCCGGCACGGCCCTGGAGGGTCTCTCCCCTTGAGCTCCAGTCCGTTCCCTCTTCCTCCACCTTCCACCACAACCCGCCATCAAAGTCCCACTCGTCAGGGTGCCCCTGACTTCTGCCCTGGCCCACTTCAGTCTCATCTGCCGGGAAGGAGAGGGAAGTGAGGACCGGGTCAGGGGCCGCGCGACGCCGGCCACGCCCCCTGCAGGTCCCTCGCCCCGCCTCCCAGCTGCCACTTACCAGCCACGCGCACTGTGATGCGTCGCGCGTGGCGCCCATGCGCGTTGGTGGCTGAGCACTCGTACTCGCCGCCGTGGCTGCCCATGGCGCCCGCCACGCTCAGCGTGCTGTTGTTGCTCGACAGGCCGATGTTGAGCGCCCCCGGGGGCGCGCGCCAGCTGATCTGGGCTGGGGGCCAGGCCTCTGCGCGGCAGGTCAGCGTGAAGTTCCCGCCCGGCCGCACGCCCCCAGGGGGCGAGGCGGCCAACTCGGCCACCACCGGCCGGTCTGCAGAGGACAGGAGGTTGGAGGAGCCCCTCAGAGCCGGTCCAGGCACCGACCAAGTGCCCTTCCGCCCACCACAATCAGAGCACCCCTCCTCGGATGGGTAGGCAGGGATCCGGCCTTCCTTCAGAGCCACCTCCCCCTACTATCGGGCTGTAGTCAGCACAAAGATCCTGTGCCCTGCTTCCCTGAAGGAGAGGGGGTAGGGACCTGCACCAGTGCCCTTCTGACCTAGAATTTGAGGGGGGCGCGGGCTCCTGTTCCCTAGAGTTTTCATTAGCCTCAGGTTTAGACCGGGAATCCTTGTCCCCAGGAAGGGGGACTAAGGAGGTACCCTTGAACTGCCCTGGGCAAGCCCACTGCTGCAAGTCACTGTTTTGGGAACCCAGTGCCCTCTAACTGGTGCTACTCCCACTCACATTCCACGCCCACGGTGACCGTCCGTGCGTCCGTGCCATGCATGTTGGTGGCCAAGCAACGGTAGGTACCCGCATCTTCTCGGGACACGCGCGGCCGCTGAGGCCTGGGCACGCCCTCCCGGGAGCAGCGCACTTGTGGGGACGGGCGACCCCGGGCGGCGCAGGCCAGCCCCGCAGCCTTGGCCCCTTCGAGCCACGTCTGGTGACTTGGGCAGGTGGACTCATCCATTTGCGGTGG